ACTCAGCAGTAAAAAGGAACAAAAAATTGATTCACACAACTTGGATAGATCTGAAGGAATTGTGCTAAGTGAAAAAAAGTCGGTCTCTAAAGGTTACAGACAGTATGATTTTTTATAACATCCTTGAAATGACAAAAATTAGAGATATAGAACAGATTAGTGGTTGCCAGGGATTAGGGATGAGGGGAAGAGGGGAGGGGGATGAGTCTGGTTATAAAGTACCGCACAAATAATCCTTGTGATAAAACAGATCTGTATCTTGACTGGGGTAGTTGCGCTTCTACACATATAATAAAATTGCTTACCACCAAGTACACATACATTTACAAATGAGTATATATAGAATGGGTAAAATTTGAATGTGGTCTGAACTGGTGACCTTACCATCTTAAATGTAAACAAAAATTATAAAAATCAGATTTGAAATAGTATCTTTTCTGTAGACATCTTGGAAAATACAGATGATTAATGAAATTCCATTCCCCATTTTATTTTATTTTTTATTTTGGTATCATTAATCTATAATTACATGAAGAACTTTATGTTTACTAGGCTCCCTCCTTCACCAAGTCCCCCCCACAATCCCCCATTACAGTCACTGTCCATCAACATAGTAAGATGCTGCAGAATCCCTACTCGTCTTCTCTGTTGTACAGCCCTCCCTGTGCCCCCACCACCACCACTACACATGCTAATTGTAATCCCCCTTCTTTTTCCCTGCCCTTATCCCTCCCTTCCCACCCATCCTCCTCAGTCCCTTTCCCTTTGTTAACTGTTAGTCCATTCTTGGGTTCTGTGATTGTGCTGTTTTGTTCCTTCAATTTTTTTTTGTTCTTATATTCCACAGATGAGTGAAATCATTTGGTACTTGTCTCTCTCTGCCTGGCTTATTTCACTGAGCATACTACCCTCTAGCTCCATCCATGTTGTTGCAAATGGTAGGATTTGTCCCATTTTATTTTTAAATATATTCCATTAAAAGTGGAATATTCAGTGCTAATAAGAAATGAGCTATCAAGTCTGAGAAAACATGGAGGAACCTTAAATGCATATTATGAAGTGAAAGAATCCAACTGAAAAGGGTATATATTATATGATTCCAACTAAATGACATTCTGGAGACAGTTAAAAGACCTGTGGTTGTCAGGGATTAGAGGGGAGGGAGGGATGAGTAGAACACAGACCAGTTTTAGGACAGTGCATCTATTTTCTATAATACTATCATGAGTCTTGGGATGGTGAAACTATTTTGTATGATACTATAATGGTGGGTGCATGCCATTATACATTTGTCAAAATGCAAACAATGTACAACACCAAGAATTAACCCAAATGTAAACTATGGGCTTTGGGCAATAGTGTGTCAATGTATGTTCATCTATTATAAATAAATGTATTACTCTGTTACCACGTGTTGATAGTGGGGAAGGTTTGTTGACAGGAGGAAATGAGTAGGAGGTATAAGGGAACTCTCTGTAGTTTCTGCTCAATTTTTCTGTGAGCCTAAAATTGCTCTGTAAAATAAAGTTTATTAAAAACAAAACTCTGAGCTAAAACAAGAAATCACAGTAAAGGGGTGGGGTTTTAAAAAAGCTTACAAACCAAAGAAAACATCTTGTAAGATTTCATGTGTACCCTTCCATTATCATGTCTATACATAATATATATACATATGTAAATATGTATTTATGCAAAATGGAATCATGCAGTTCATACTCTTGTAATCTGCACTTTACACTTAAAAAGATAGACAGATGGGCACAATATATTATCTTTTCTGACTCCCAGTCTCTTTTGGAAGCCTTTAGCCTGAAAAGATAACAGAAGTACATGTATACAGAATTTCATGTACATTACAGGAGGTTTATCAACTTGCTGACGTCCATTCATGAACCCCTATTTTAATAGATGCATAGTATTCTGTTGTATGAAATACCTTGATTTATCCAAACAGTTTTTAATGGAATCAAATATTTAATATGGCACTGTTCTAGGCACTGGGGATACTGCAGTGAACAAAACAAAATCCCACTCATGTGGCCGTTACACCGGAGGGAGAAAGAGACAAAACAGGAACATAAATATATATGTGTCAGATGATGAGCTCTGTGAGGCAGGGTAAGGTTGGGGGTAACGGTAGGGTGGGGTGTGATCAGAAAAGGCCTCTCTGATATGGTGACATTTGGTCAGGGATCTGCAGGAAGTAAGGAAGCAAGTTCAAGAATATCTGGGGGATGAACATGCCAAGGACAACCCACTATTGTGTCTTAGTCCATTTAGGTTGCTGTAACATAATACCATAGACTGGGTAGCTTGTAAATAACAGAAACTTAATTCTCACAATATTGATGGCTGGAAGTCCCAGATCAGGATGCCAGCATGGTCAGTGAGGTCTGTCTTCTGGGTGGCAGACTTTTCCTTCAAGGGTGGAAGGGGCTAGTGAACTCTGGGGGGGCTCTTTTATAAAGGCACTAATCCCAGTCGTGAAGGCTCTGTCGTTCTGATCTCACCACCTCCCAATAGCATCACTGTGGGTGCGAGGTTTTCAACAGGAATTTTGGGGGGACACAAACATTCAGACCATATCATGTTGGATGTATGTCTTCTTTCCACTTATTGTGCTGTTAAACAGTGCTTCAATCTACATTATTGTACATTCATCTGGTTATTTCCTGAATACTTTCTAGAAAAATTGTAATGTCAAAGTTTATATACCTTTTAACAATATATACATACACATACACACATACAGGAAATATCTGTATGCCAGCCATTGTTTTCTAAGTGCTTCATTGGAGTTAATTGAATTAATCTTCACAGTAACCTGTGAAATAGACAGATATTAGCATCATCCCCATTTTGTAGACAAGGAAACTGAGGCACAGATATCTGTTTTTCTGTGCATTCTGTAACCTCATTATTTTTTAATCATTGGTTAGTCATAGACATGATTCCACATCAGTGTATCTAGATCTACCTCATCCTTTTTTTAAAACCCTTTCCTTTTCCAAAAGCTGGACTGTATTCTGTAATTCATTTAACTGGTTTCTTCTGGATGGACATTTAGGCTGTTGCTAGTTTGGCAGTATTATAATGTGGCAGTTAACATTTTTATGTACATATCTGCTTAGTTTTTAGAAGATGTACATGGTGATGTTAGATTTGACAATTTATGATTGTTGTATTCCCCTAGTGGACTGTACCTTTGCCCTAGTTACTGTGTTTTGGCTTGAATTCTGCTTTGTCTGATATTAATGTTGCACATCTGCCCTCTTTTAGCTAGCATTTGCCTGGCATATTTTTATTTTTTGCAGGCTGAATATGGCTGGATTTTTTTAACCTAACTTGGAGTCTCTAATACTCTATGGGGAACTTAGCCCATTCACATTTACTGTGATAATTGATATATTTGGTCTGATTCCTGACATCTTATTTTATGCATTGTTTAACCCTCCCCTGACTTCCCTTATTATTTGGGAGTTCTAAATGAATTCTTGTTTCTTTCCTTTTCCCCTCTATTATTATTTAGAAATTCTACTTCTCATTTTTACCCTTTAATTAGTTACCCTGTAACATGTTTTAAAAGTTATATTTTTCAATCACTGGCAGTGTTTATCAGTATTTTTATAACTTCTACTCTCCAGAACAAAACAAGGCTATTAACATGCTTTTATTAGCATTGCACACGCTCACGCATACATATACACACACCCTTTCCCCACATCCTGTGTTTTATTGAAACCACTTATAATTGTTAATTTTTTTTACATTGTGCTTCTATTATCTCAGATAAAATTGACCTTAATTTTTATTAGGGTCCTTTCTTTCCTTAATTTCTTAAATCCTACATCTGTCTTCCACTTGGAGTTATTTTTTTTATTCCCAAATAAACTTTCTGAATCTCTGAATATCTGAAGAGGTGTTTATATTCACCCCACTCTTGAATACTAGTTTGGCTATGTACCTCTAGGTTCAAAGTCATTTTCTTGAGAATGTTCTACTCATTGTATCTTTGTTTTTAAGCTTCTGATATTACTAATTCTGATTCATTAATTAATTCTAAACAAAAATAAAATCAGAGATAAACTGTTTTTCTTTTCTCCCTTCTGGAAACATTTGGAATTTTATTTCTTTTTTCTCTGATCCTTGGAATTTTGAAATTTTACTGGGATGTGCCTAGATGTGAGTTGTTCTTTTATAAAGTGATCCTGTTTGCTGTTCCTTGAGCCTTTTCATCTCTGAGTCCTTCAGCTCAGAAAGCTTTTCCTTGGTATTTCATGAGATTGTCTTGAGGGAAAAGGAGGAAAATCTTTAATGATTTCATTATTCATTTCTACTTTTTATATTTCATGTCTTCCCTTTTCATGAGCTCTTATTCTGACTAATTTTGCTCATCTTTGCCTTTTTTTAGTTTCTTCCTTTTACCCTTATAATAGAATCATCAGTTTGGATTTAAGATTCTTGACTGTAGCCTTCTTCTCTCAGAACTGTTGAGACATTATATCACTGTCATCTGCCAATCTTACTCTTTTCAAGAGATTAACTTATTTTTTTAACATTTTATATGCTTATAAGATCATTGAAAACACTGAAATTCAGAAATTTCATTCAGATACATGTATATGTTAGTCTGCCTTTTTTTCACATGGTACTGGGGGAATACTGTAAATCTAAACAAAGTGCTCTTTCCAATTAATTACATTTCATCAATTTTTCTCTCTATTCATTCCTTCTGGATCTCTTTTATATATATATAAAGTCTACTAGGTCTGTCCTTCATGATTTAGTATTTTTCTCATATTTATAACCTTTAAAATCTTTTTCTTACGAACCCTGGTAGATCTCTTCAAGTTGATCTTTTGATTGTCTAAAGATAGTTTTCCACATTCTCCAGTCTGATAGCCAATTGGTGGCAGCCTCCATTGAGATGTTTAATTTGACAATCATAGTTTTCATCGTAGGAAACGTTTTCTTATCAAAGCATCCCCTTTTCCACACAGGAAAGCAGCTTTATGACTGTGCTGAATGTGGCAAGAGCTTCAGTCGGAGCACAGACCTTCGCTGTCATCAGGGAGTCCACACTGGAGAGAAACCTTTCATATGTGATGCATGCGGCAAAGGCTTCAGTTATAACGCAAACCTTCATGTTCATCAGAGTCCACACGGGGGAGAAGCCTTTTAAGTGTGAGGAGTGTGGGAAAGACTTGCGTCAGAGCTCCAAGCTTTGCATCCGGGGAGAGTGCACACTGGAGAGAAACTATAAATGTAGGAAGTGTGGTAAGGACTTCAGTCAGAGCATAGATCTCCAAGTGCATCAGAGAGTCCACACCAGAGAAACTTTAAATGTGAAATTTTTAAAATACTTTCTCATGCTCATCAGAAGGTCCAGGCAGGAGAGAAAACTTTCAGGATGTCAGCCACAGCTCTGATCCTTACATTCTCCCGAGAGTGAAACGAGACAACTGTGACGTGTGATCAGGGCTGCTTCTGTCATTCCTATGCCTGCTTTTGTTTTTATATTACCTGTATGCCCAGGCTATCTTACATTTTTACATAGATATCATATTTTATATTACCTTTTTGAAGTTTGTTTTATTCACCAAGCCTTAAATTGAGATTTTTTTTTTATGCTGATGTTTTAGGACTAATTCATGGATTTTACTTCTGTCATGTTCTAAGCTATCAGACAGATATTTTTTTCAATAGATTTGGGTATTCCTGTGCCAGTAACACGTTTTCAAGTACTATAACTTTATAGGAATTGTCCTGGCTACTTAAAACTCTTTTTTCTTTCATATAAGTTGTAGAAGCAGCTTGCCAAAATCCTTGAAAAAAACTCTTTTGGGTTGGTTTTTTGGGGGGTTTTGTTTCCTTTCCTCTCCTTTCATTACTTCTATTAGATTATTTTCTTTATTCTCCCTTTATTTCCCTCTACAAGATCAGTAAATTTTATCTGTTTTATGTTAACATTTATAACTTAATTGTCTATATATAATGTCCCTCTTTAACAATATAGAGTAGAAAACAAATTCTGCTTCTCCTTCTCCCTTGTTACATGTTACTGTTGTATATGGTTTTAATTTCATCGTGTTTTTAACATGTCCCCATATTTGTCACCCTTATTACTGTTGCAAATAGTCAAGTTTGGACAACCTGCACATCTATCAGTTTCTTACCACTGGTTCTTGCTTTTCCTCCTTCCTTCTGAATTGCATTTCCTCAGCCTTCCAGAGCAGAGGCAGCCTGTGAAGTAGTTAAAAGCAACTCTGAGCTGGACTGCCTGGGCCTGATACAGCTCTGTTGATCTCTAGCTACGTGACCTGGAGCAGATTACTTAATTTCTTTGTGCCTCAATTTCTCCATCTGAAAATAAGGATGATAACAGTATTTACTTCATGGAGTTGTTATAAAGATAGAATGAATTAATATTTGTACAATTATTTAAAAAGTCCCTGGCATATACTAAGCTTATAAAAGTGTTTCTTATATAAATAAAATAAACGAATCCCTCAGTAGTTTTTCAGCAAGTGTGTCTGAGAGCACTCAATTATTTCTCTCTCCCTTACTCTGTAAGTATAGCATAGGTAGATATAGAATTCTAAACTGAAAATTCATTTTTACTCAGCAGTTCCTCTAGTGATGCTTTTAAATAGTCTGTTATTAGCCTAATTATTGTTCCCTTTGAGACATTCTGTCTCTTCTCTTTGATTGCTTTTAAGATTACCTCCTTATCTTTAAAGAGCTTTTGCAAAATCCTGAAAAGCAGAAAAGTACTCTGTCATTTGGCTAAACGTATCTGGTATACATTAACTTACATTTTTCCTAATTAGGACACACTGTGCTTCTACATGCCATTCTCTATTTTATTAGTTTTTAATTCTTTATCCTTCTACTTTTATGTTTATCTTTTTCTAGCTGTTTCTAGCTTATTTATTTTTAGCCTTTGTTTTCTAATAAATGCATTTCAGTAAATTAAATTTCCCCTAATACTTAGGCAGCATCCTTTCCAGAACATAGTTTAACAATATAAATCAAAAAGCTTTAAAGTGTTTATATATTTGACTCAAATTTCATGTCTAAGTATCTGTGTTAATGAAATAATCAGATGAATTACATATAAAAGGCATATATTACCGTGTTACTTGTATTTTTAAAAAGAAGGATTACAATACAGAAATTTTTAAAAATTGTAATATGCTTATATAATGTAGTATTCTCCAGCAAGAAAAATGATGTTGGGGATAATTTTTAATGACTTAGAAAAATATGCACAATATAGGAAATGTAAAAACAGAAGAATAAACAACAAAAAATAATGCTGATGGATAATTTTTATTTTCTATTTTGTGCTTTTCAGAATTTTGCAAGCAGTCTTTAATGCTTCTCAATCCCCATTGATAACAGTATTGATTCTTCTAATTATAAAATAATATGTCCATTGTAAAATGTCAAAATATTATAAAACAAAAGTAAGTATAACTGGTTTACTATGGAGTGTCAACTCAGTGGTTTTATAAGATCATGAAATGGCTTTATTTTTTCCCAGTCACCACCTTCATCCATATTCTGTTGAATTCCTCTGAATGAATAAATGAATGAAAGGATGACTATTAATACATGAATGAAAGGATGAATATTGAGTGGTAAAGAGAGACCCTGAGGAAGGGCTTTAGAAAAGAGGAAGAGTACAAACTAGGTACAAGACTACAAATGGGTGAAAATGTTTGCAATCCATATCACAGAAGAGAGATTTATCTCTGTTTATTAAGAGCAATTAGAAATCATGAAGAAAAAGCACAAAAACTGTAAAGAGACTGTTAAGAGATAATTAAAATGGCACTTAAATGTATAGAAAGGTGGCAAACTTTTCTGAGAAATGCAAATCAAAACCATGCTGAGATACATTTCTTACCTATCAGATTAGCAAAATATTGGAAAGTTTAAAAACCTCTTGTTAATGAGGCTATAGAGAAATGGACATTCTCATACATTGCTGCGGAGGTTGCAAAATAGAATAACTCCTATGGAGGAATTTGACAATAGCTACCAAAATTATAGATATATTTGCCTTTTGATCCAAATATCCCATTCCTAAGAATCTATCCCACAGATACACTTATACATGTGCTTTGAAGATATTTGGCATTGTTTCCAATAGTAAAAATGGAAAACACAAATGTTCAAAAATAGAATGCAACTATAATTAAAAGGAAATTTTTCTTATTAAAATGGAGCTATCTCCAAGATATATTATTAAATTTAAAAAATGCAAGGTGAAAAACAATGTGTATCTATAATATAAAGTATATATTTATATAAAAATGTATATATTTTATTAAGGAGAATGAGAATATATAATCATATTATATTTGCTTAAATGTTCCACTGGAAAGATAAACAAGGGACTAGTAGAAGGATAAAGAATTAAAAACTAAAATGCTTGTCTGGGGAGCAGGGATGGGAGTGAGAATTTTCTGTACTTTTAATATTAAATATAGATTTGATTTGAACATACTACCTACTTTTAGGATAATGCTGAATGAGAGCCAATGGCTTTTCAGTATTTATTGCAATTAAAATATTGGTGTTTATTGATTTATGTGATTATTTTTAATAAAATATTTTGTATGTAATTTTTGGAAGCTTAGGTTTGTTTTGTTTTTTTTCTTTTTTTGTACTATTTTAATCAGGATTTGTTATTATGGCTATTCAGTCTCCAAAATGCGGTGACTCACATAAATAGCCTAGATTTTTTAAAAAAACAAACTCAAAGCAAGCAGAAGGAAATAAGAACAGAAATCAATGCAATTTAAAATAGAAAAATAGAGGAAATCAATGAAACTAAAAGCTGATTCTTTAAAAAAGAAATCAATAGTCAATAAATGTCTAGCCAGACTGACAAAGCTAAAAATAGGGAAGACAAATTATTGAAATAAACAATGAAAGGGGACATCATTGCTCTCCCTACAAAAATTTAAAATATAAGTAAATACTATGAACAGCTCTATGCACATATATGCAATAATTTAAGTGGACCAATTCCTTGAAAGATACAAATTACCAAAACTCATTCAAGGATAAATAAAGTGTAAATAGTCCAATACCTTTTAAAGAACTCTAATTCATGCCTTCCAAAAAGAAAACTCTAGAAGGGGTAGGGGGAGGGAGGGTGGGGGAAAAGAAGGTGGTGTGAGGAGTGAGGCAATAACCTCCTCCCAAAACCACATGTAACATGAAAATACAGCAAGTACGACTAATCCTGAAAGAGGAAGCTGAAGACTGCAGAACATACTGCCTACATTTGGGGAAAAGAAGACCTCACAGAAAAGGGTAAAGTAGCAAAGACACAATCTGATGGGACCCAAGCCATTCCCCCAACCCAGCTCATAGGCAGAAGGAAGAGAAACGGAATGGTGTTGGGGACGGCCTTTGTCTTCTCACATGTCTGAAGGCAGAATGGGAAAGCACCTTCCCCCGTGTCTGAATGCAGCACGGGAAAGCACAAGCTTGAGAACAACCCATGCAGTCCTTGGAAGTTATCTGCCCACAAAAACATCTTGTCCTCGAAGACGAGCCAAGACTCCTCACTCTGAAAACAGGGAGACCTTGAGGATGTGTGAAAACACTGCCCCTGCTTCTGGCCTGCCCCCCCTGAGAAGGGAAAGATGAGTATAGCACTTGGCTGAGGTCTGAGAAAGGCAGTATAAAAATAAAGGTGCTGCGCCACATCGGGCCTGCAGCCATTGTCTGTCTGTGTTGTCTGTGTTTTTTGTTCTCTCATTTCACCCAAAGAAGATGAGTGGCACATTACATCAGGGGCCCAAATGTGGGGCATCCTCTCAGAGTGAGTTGTACATATATTCAGCTCCATGCCTCCCCTTCAGACTGTTCGACTTCGATGGCAGGCACCATCAGAATGGGAAGAGGGTAGATGCCTAGGATTGCTGAATACCCAGCCCTGGAGATCTGCTTTGGGAGCACAAATGTACATTACATGATGCTCTGGAAATTAGTTGGGGTTGGAAAGCAAAGACAGAATACTCGGAGAATCTGAGATTCCAGCCACTTGTGGAGAATAGATACCCATAACCGGCCACTCCAGGACAAAAGAAAGGCAGGCACTTTTAAAGACTTCCCAACAGTGAGAGGGGTGCTGAAGGGGAAAGAATAACACAGAGTTTGCTGCTCAGGAGCAATGACAGGAGGGCAAAATCATCCCAGCACCCTCAGCCCAGCAAGTTGGGAACTTTCAGGAGCTTCAGATACTCCTTACCCCTGGCTGGCAACACAGTGCCGAGGTCCCCCATTGTGATACACAGCCTGCCTCTTCTTCCTCCTGGCAGGCATTGGTCTGCATACATGCTGTCCCTGCCATTGCATCAGGCCATCCAGAGGGAAGCTGTCCTGATGGCAGCTACAGGAGCATAATACAGAGGCTCCTCCTGGGCACTCGGCTCACTGGACCTGGCAGTGGAGACAGGCACTGCCGTGGGGAAGCAGGATAAAGAGCTCTTTCCTCCCAGCAGGCACTGGTACTATGTGCCTATGACCCTTGCCACTGCTTCAGGTGCTGAGCAGCTCCAGAGAGTAGAGCTTCTGGGAACTAGAGGGCACAGCCTAGACAAAGTTATTATTCTATAATAATCATTAGAAATATGAAATGGCAAAAAATTTTTATACAAACAAGAATCCAACAAACACCAGAAAGAGGGCCAAGTGAAACTGAAATCACCAAGCTTCTTGATAAAGATTTCAAAATAAAAATCAAACATGCATCAAGATGGCAGCATGAGAGGTGAGACAAAGAACTCCTCCCAAAACCACAGATAGTGCAAAAATATAGTTAATACAGCTAACCCTAAAACAGCAACAGCAAAGAAGGCTTCACAGACTGCATACAGACCTCACGAACAGAGCAGACCTCACAAAACAGGGTACTGTACCAAAGCAGTGATCCGGTGGGACCCCACCCCAGCTCACCAGTGGGAGGAAGAGAAACAGAGTGGGGAGTGGGTAGAAGCCTGGGTCCTGAACACCTAGCCCTGAGATCTGCTTTGCAAGCAGAAACCTGCTCTGGAAGATGGGGAGCTGGGACAGGCAGAGGGCTTGAGAGACAGATTCTGGCCGTTTGTGGAGGAAGGGATCCACATTCAGCCGCTCTGTGACAAGGGAAAGGCAGGCGGTCTGAGAGGTTTCCTAGCAGCAAGAGGGCTGCTAAAGGGGCAGGGTTTGCATGGAGCTTGCTGTGCAGGAGAAGGGATAAGGGGACAAGGTTGTCTGGGTGCACTCTGCCCAGCAGATTGGGAACTTTGAGGTGCTTCAGGAGCTCCATCTCCCTGGCTGGCTACTCAGCTTCGAGGCCCCCCACTGTGATACACAGCATGTCAAGCCTTCCTCCTGGCCTGACGGCACCAACTCGCAAACTTGCAGTCACTGCGCTGGCATCAGGCCAGTCAGAGGGAGGCACCACCTACAACAGCTAGAGATGCAAAGCACAGAGGCTTACACCTGTGTGCTTGGCCCACTGGCTCTGATAAGTCAGACAGGCATGGCAGACGGGAATCAGGAAACAGATCTTTTCTCCCTTCAGGCACCAGCCCCGCTCCCCTACAATCCCCAATCTCACACTAGGGGCTGAGCAGCTCCAGAAACTGGAGCTTCTGGGCACTAGAGGGCACCACACAGAAATATGAAATGTCAAAAGAACATGGTTCAGACTAAAATCTCACAAACCCCAGAAAAAGGGCCAAATGAAACTGAACTCACCAATTTTCCTGAAAGAGAGTTCAAAATAAATATCATCAACATGCTTATGAAGGTACAGAAAAATATTTATGAACTCAGGAACGAATTTAAGATGGAGATTCAATCATTAAGAAATTCCATATCTGAAATGAAACATACAATGGAGGGATTTAAAAGCAGATTAGATGTAGTAGAAGAGACAGTAAATGGAATAGAAATTAGAGAAGAGGAATACAAAGAAGCTGAGGCACAGAAAGAAAAAAGAATCTCTAAGAAAGAAAGAATATTGAGAGAACTGTGTGTCTAATCCAAACAGAACAATATTCACATAATAGGGGTACCAGAAGAAGAAGAGAGAGAAAAAGGGATAGAAAGTGTCATTGAGGAGGTAATTGCTGAAAACTTCCCCAGTCTGGGGAAAGAGATAATCTCTCAAGCCATGGAGATGTACAGATCTCCCAACACAAGGGACCCAAGGAAGACAACATCAAGACATATGATAATTAAAATGGCAAAGATCAAAAATAAAGACAGACTTTTAAAAGCAGCTAGAGAGAGAAAAAAGATAACATACAAAGGAAAACCCATCAGGCTATCATCAGACATCTCAACAGAAACCTTACAGGCCAGAAGGGAGTGGCATGATGTATTTAATGCAATGAAGCAGAAGGGCCATGAACCAAGAATACTCTACTCAGCAAGGTTATCATTTAAATTTGAAGGAGGGATTAAACAATGTTCAGATAAACAAAAGTTGAGAGAATTTACCTCCCACAAACCACCTCTACAGTGCCTTTTGGAGGGACTCCTATAGATGGAAGTACTCCTAAGGCTAAATAGATGTCACCCAAGGGACAGACAAAGAGTACAGAATATGATTCAAAACATACAAAGAATGGAGGAGGAAGAAAAAGGAGGAAACAAAAAAGAATATTTAGGTTGTGTTTGTAATAGCATATATAGTGAGTTAAATTAGACTGTTAGATAGTAAGGGAATTACCCTTGAACCTTTGGTAACCACAAATCTAAAGCCTGCAATGGCAATAAGTACATACCTATCAATAATCACCCCTAATGTAACTGGTCTGAATGCACCAATCAAAAGAAATAGAGTCACTGAATGGATATAAAAACAAGACCCATCTATATGCTGCCTACAAGAGACTCACTTCAAACCCAAAGACATAAACAGACTGAAAGTAAAGGAATGGAAAAAGATACTTCATGCAACTAATAGGGAGAAAAAAGCAGGAGTTGCAGTACTTGTATCAGACAAAACAGACTTCAAAATAAAGGAAGTAACAAGAGACAAAGAAGTACATTTTATAATAACAAAGGGGTCAGTCCAACAGGAGGATATAACTATTATAAATATCTATGCACCCAACAAAGAAGTACCTACATATATGAAACAAATACTAACAGAATTGAAGGGTAAATAGAATGCAATGCATTCATGTGGGGAGACTTCAACAAACCACTCACTACAAAGGACAGATCCACCAGACAGAAAATAAGTAAAGAGACAGAGGCACTGAACAATGTATTAGAACAGATGGACCTAATGGACATCTACAGAACACTCCATCCAAAAGCAACAGGATACACATTCTTCTCAAGTGCACTTGGAACATTTTCAAGAATAGATCATATACTAGGCCACAAAAAGAAACTCAGTAAATTTAAAAAGATTGAAATTGTACCAACCAGCTTCTCAGATCACAAAGGTATAAAACTAGAAATAAATTACTCAAAGAAAATGAAAAAGCCCCCAAATACATGGAAGCTTAATAACATGCTCCTAAATAATCAATGGATCGATGACCAAATAAAAACAGAGATCAAGCAATATATGGAAACAAATGACAATAATAATTCAACACCGCAAAAATTGTGGGATTCAGCAAAGGCCATGCTAAGAGGGAAATATATTGCAATACAGACCTACCTTAAGAAGAACAATCTCATATGAACACTCTAAACTCACAATTAATGAAACTAGAAAAGTAAGAACAAATGAGGGCCAAAGTCAGTAGGAGGAGGGACATAATAAAGATTAAAGCAGAAATAAATAAAATTGAGAAAAATGAAACAACAGAAAGAATCAATGAAAGCAGGACCTGGTTCTTCAAGAAAATAAACAAAATAGAAAAACCCCTTGCAAGACTTATCACGAAAAATAGACAGTCTACATACATCAACAGAATCAGAAATGAGAAAGGAAAAATCACTACAGACACCACAGAAATACAAAGAATTATTA